CCCTAGGGGTCCGGGGAGGGGGGAAGGTTGAGGCATTCACTCGAGAAATTTGTGTTTTTTATACGCCTGAAAATAACCTCTGAGGTGTTTTGGGCAATAAATTTTTCCTTTTTCTTTCTTTCTTTTTTTTTCTCTTTTTTTTTTTACTTTCCAAAAAAGGAGGGTCAGTTCAGCCCCTTAAATCCGCCCCTGATCAGAGGACATCATTATTACCATCATTAACATCTTTATACTACTCATCATTCTCATTATTATCCTTATCATCATCCTCCTCCTTAATCCTCATCAGTGCTGTTATCAACATAGTATTTATCAGCGTTCATCAATGCTACATACCTTCCGCTTCGGAAGCGTCCACATTAGCGTTGGTCTTCTTATTCTTATCAGCAGGGTCAACATCGGCCATTCCTACCAGCCATATCATTGTAGCTGAAGACAGAAATATAAAAATCATTCAGAAATAATTGTTAAAAAATTTTAAAAATCACTCATTAAGACTTTTAGATAAATACAACTTTCCAAATTAAATAGTTGTACTTTTTTAAATAATATTTACATGAACCTAACGTAAATGCTCGAATAAGCGCCACAGCGCTTATAAAACTTTTGGAGACTTCAGTGCAGCGCTTATTCAAAAGCGGCGCTTATGCGAGAGTGCGCTTATAAAAATATTGACGTGGCGCTTTCCATGCCCGTTCCCATGTTCGGTCTACCTATCTCACGTATTCCCGTAGTTCAGTAGGCCTATCATAGGTCTTACATCATTGTAAATAAACATTTATAACGTAATGCTTGTGTCTTCATTGTGTTATTTATTCATAGTATCTTATGGTATTTTTACTTTTCAGATCATCTGACACTCATGTGCTCAAGAATAAAATATATAACATACAAGAATAAATAAGGGCTGGAAAGATTGGTTCATCCCTTTCTTGAGCTGTTTCAACAAGAACCTTCAATGGTCCCCTAGGACATAGAACTGCAGCCAGATCTACAAATAAACAAATCAAAAATAAAAATTTTAGTTTATCAAAAGAATCATATGATTTGAGCAATATGGAGACAACTGAAAATCTAAGATAGGGAATCTAGTCAAAAACAATATTCATACAAATATTGACCATTTCTGGCAACCTTATCTAAGGCAAATTTGTTTTTGCATACAATTAGCAGCATGTACAGGTATGGTGCTTTTTGCCTGAATTTTTTTAGATTTAAAGTGAAGCTGAACATACAGGCACCTTCAACTCTTATCTATCTCTATGGTTTGCATGGCGAACAACAATATAACCTCTACACCACAGGTGGGCAAGGAGCAGCCCATTAGCGATTTTTTTTTAGGTCCGCGACAATGAATTAAAAACCCTATATTTGCGGCCCGCCAATCAAAATTGGCTAGAAAACACCTTGATTTTTAGGCCCAACACCAATAATATGTATTTATGCCCACCCCTGCTCTACACTAACACAGTGAGATAAAATTCTGGGCAATTATGTATGTTAGCCTTGTAAATGGCCTCCCACATCACACAATAATGCACACAACAGCATTTCATCAGTAGTACTCATTGTTTTTCAAATTATAAACCAAGGAAATCTTTTGTGCTCAGAAGTTAAAAAAAATCTCTTCATTAAACTCTAGTGTTATGCATATTACAAGGTGTGTTATTGAAAAATCATATTTTATAGAATAAACACAGACAACTAATAGTCTTACCATATATGGCTATAGCAGCAAGAATAGTCCAAAGTGTCCATTCAGGTAGATACTTGATGAAGACTAGGGCCATGAGAGCTGAGATGATAATCAGGTAGGCCTGCTGTAGGAGCAATGGTCCCTTCCAATGGATGCAAAACATCCCGACAACGCCAAAGTTCCACATAATGATTGCAGTCGTAATGTAATCCATTGGCACGTTGTATGTCAGCAACACCTCTCTAAAAATTAATTAAAAAATATTTGACAACAATGCACAAATAATTTAAATACATTATTCTAAAATTAGATTGTTTGATATTATAGAGCAACAATGCACAATATCCAAGCCCAGGGGAGTATTGCTAGCTTCACAGTCATACACACATGCACCCTCCCCCCACCCCACCCACCAATATATTTAACATCCTAGGAACTCATGGAGAACAAAATGCAATGTGCCTGCTAAGTACGCAACTATGTACAGTACAAAATAAATAGCAACCGGCCTTACCCCCCCCCCCTTTAAATGTTTCCTTTACGAATGCTATATCAATTACGATTATTGTTATTAAAATATTTTATTATAATTTAAATGTCATTAAAATCAAATGGAACTTACGTTAAATAGATGTATGCAAACAAAAATAGGAACAGCAGGGACGCTGTGATTAACCATCCATGTATAACCTGAAATGCATTATAAGAACAAAATTATTTAAAATTATATAAACAGATAAAATTTTACAATAATAAACAATAATGTTGCAATTATACTGTGCATAATTCCAAGGCTTTTATACACTTTACTGGACATTATAACAGAAAATCAAAAAGAAAAATCAATAAAAAAAAACACTGAAATATTCTAACGTAACAAACAACAAGAATAACAGCAACAATACGTGACAGAGACAAAATATTCTGTTGTGCTGGTGATCCATTTACAAAGTGCGTGACAACAGGTGTGATACAGTTAAGTTTTTATGGCTTGTTTTGCGGTAGACTACATGCTCTGAAAGATGACTGGAGTCAGTGAGTTGTCAGAATATATTTTGCCATGCGACAGTTTTTGGAAGTAGAAAACTATTCTATGCTGGGCGTGAGGGAAATTAGCTCTATAATGAAAGCTTCAACAATCAGTATTTTTGCACGACTACAGTATCAAGCTACAAATAAACAACGAGTCCTTCTATTCTAGAATATTACGTTGTGTTGAGAACGGAAGTTTTACATTCGTTTTACTGATTCCTCCTAATAATAATATCGTAGGTTTATCACAGGACTGGTGGAACACATTTCTGATCATTAATAATTTTAATGAAGAACTTAACTAAAGAATATGCCTAAAGGTAAAATCATGTAAGAGGCCGAAATTTTACAAATTTCTCATCAGTAGAAACAGCTCCTATAAGTCAAATTTAAAGCTGATATATCAGAAATCAGAAGTGAAACAAATTATGCAAAGATTTAAACAAAGTGAAACAATGTTTTACTCAGTTTTTTATGACCTTTACAATTCACATGACAGGAATTGATGTAATTTTTACATAATTTATATAATTGTTATATCCTTCCCAATCACAATTAATCACATTTCCTTTGTATTAAAACAAGATTCTTAATCATAATGCCTGGTAAAAAATGTACCAAAAATTTAAAAATGAGGGTTTTTTTTAAGTAAAGGTAGACCTGTTTTTAAAATTGTATATTTGATAGTAATCTTGTATCTCTGTTTAAATTTAACGTTGCTAGTTGTACTCGCACTAAGAATTTAATCCATGTTCTATTTGGCCGAGTAGACGTAATAAAGAGAGGTCTATTTCTAAGATTAGCTGTTACATTTTAAGTTGTTTTATGATAGTTTATCCTCATTTAAGTTTACTGTAAGTTTTTACCATTTATTTTGTTTCCTTGTATTTGTATATGTTTTTCTCCAACCTGATAGTGGAGGTTTCTATATCTATTGGTTGAGAATTGAACAGAATAAAATAAAAAAATAAAATAAAGCCTAGGAAATAAAAGCATTTAGCTTCTATGTAAATCCTAATATTTTTTGGACACAAGCATGTAATTTTTGGTATCATGTCCATCTTGGATGGATCGGAATACTGGTTACCACACAGATTAATGTAATTGGTGTATCCTTTGAAAACTATAAAAAAATGTCTCCAAAAATGATCACAAGATTAAATTAATTAATGACTTTACTTACTTTATAGCATCGATATTTATAAAGGGCAACAAGGAATACGGTCATCAGAAGTACCACCCCAACCACGATAATAGCGTTGGCCACTGCGTTCCATGCCTTGGTGCCTGCACCGCCCTCATCCTCATGGAAAGGAGTATACACCCTGGATGAAAGAAGAAACATGTAACCTTATGCACTGTCCAGATCATCAAATTTTCTTTATATACCCATATATAGTCATGATGCGCCTATATATGGTAAAGAATGTCACCATGACCCTATTTAGGCATAGCACATGTTTTGTCAAATAAAATTGCACTGTCCAGATCATCAAATTTTCTTCGACAAAAACTGTGGTATGCCCATATATAGTCATGATGCGCCTATATATGGTAATGATGTGATGTCACCATGACTATATTTAGGTATGGCACATGTTTTTGTCAAATAAGATTTGATAGTCTGCATAGTCTTTACGTATTTGAAATACAAAAGAAAATGTGTTCTGTGCTACAGTATATATTTAGTATATAAATTTAATGTTTTTGAAACTTTCAAGTTTCCCATGGAAAATTTTACAATTTTTGTCCATATATGGGCAGATGATATCATATCATACCCATATATGGGCAAATCACAGGTATTTGTCACATAAAACCAGATAGTGTGGACAGAGCCTTACACCCTTTTCACACTGCCACTATTTTGCAAATAGCAACAACTAGTTGTATTACCAGGTTTGTGCAGTGTGAAAGCAAATCCATTTAAAATATTCCAAAATATCACAGAGGACCCTTGTGATACCTCAGAAAAAAAACAGAAATTTGTGAGGCCTGTTTATTCTTCTGAGATGTCCTGAGTTATTCAGTGCAAATTCGTACTGCCATCAGAAAACAAAATAATGTCGCGTGCTAAGACTACCCTTGATATCTAGGCTTACTGCTATTCTCCTGAGATTTTGCATGGTTTGGATTTACTGTGTTTGTGAAAATATCTTGGGAGACCAAAGTTGTTACAACTTATTACTAATATTTGTTGTTAGTGTGAAAAAGGTACAGTATTAGATTGGAAGCCATACCCGGCACCACAATGTTATCACACTTACAGGTACTGGCCTCCACTCTGCGAGTAAAATTCAACTGTTGAAATGGTTACTACTACAACCAGCATGCACAAGGAGACAGGGGCAAATAGCATGATGACATGCTTGGCCCCGTACTTGAGTAACATGTCATCATCATCATCGTCGCCCTCATTCTGGGTTCGGCGTGGCACTTCATCTGTTTCTGGGTTATTCTGAAATGACAAAATATTGAACACTGAGATGACAATTGTATATTGTACTGAGCTGTGTATTATCTTGCAAAGAAAAGCAATTCTCATAAATGTACTTTTTTATGATGAACAAATCATCAGTATCAGTATCACATATTTATTTATGTTGTTTTTTTATGTGACTGAATTTTTAAAATTGTCCTGTTTTGTTTGTTATAATGAATTTAATTATATTGATAATTACATACTGTACAGTATGTTGTTCTTGTTTATGTTTTTAATCATATTTTTGATGTTTTTAATGTACTTCCTTGATAGTTTTGTTTTTTGCTTTTGTTTTTGTTTTCTAATTTTCTTTACCATGTTTGTTTTGGCATGCTCATCAAAAGAATTTAATCTTCTTAGGATGTTGCCATCTTCGATAGCTTACAGTATATATTTTTCTTTTAAATCAAATCTTATTATAATGTGTGTTTGTACTATGGAAGTGAATTTATGTCTTTTGAATGAATGAATGAATGAATAGTTTTCAAATTTTTATGATGTGTCTTTGGGCTGCAATTGTTTTTTGAAAAAAAAAAAAGAAGTAAAGTAAGGAGACCGATAAAATTAAGTTTGTATGTCTCTGGGCATTAATTTGTAATTTAATTGAATGTATAATGTCTTTTATGGTAAAATGTGAAAAAAATGATCCAAATACATAGTATTTTTAAATTTTAAAATATAGTAAAAAATAGCTTACTTAAATGCAATTATTATGCAGAATGTATATGTTGGAAAATTCTAAATTCATGTTATTTTACAAAGGAATAGGTACTATTATCATTTTTAAAGGTGAAAATTATAATTTTCAAATAATAAATTATTTTTTTTGTTTTTTAAAAAATTTGGTTAATTTATGTGATTCCGCTACCAAAAAAGTGTTTTTTTTTTAAATATCTCCAAAAGTATTGACTTTTCAAAAATGAAAGTACAGGTGATAATAGACTACTGATAGATGTATCAGAAAATAATAGGCTTTATATAAATTTTTTTATATATTTTTAGAAATAAAGGTTTAAAAAACGTGATTCCGCTACCAAATGTAGTATCGGAATGACGTGTATTTCCGCTACCAAAATATGCTACCCACTAAGATAGCAACAAAATTCACATCTAGATGTGTATAAGAGACAGATATGTGGGTCACATTTCCTCAAGAGA